CGTTAAATAATTCTTCTCGGTGTCGAGGATTTCTTTCATGATATTGAGCCGTTGACCACTCTTGTGGTGCTTGGATTCTACAGCGGGTTGGGGCAATACACTCATGATGATGGTGAAGAAGAGAAATTTTTTTATGATGCTTGGACAAGTGACAGCCAATTTTTCGCTTTATTCAAACGCCAATTCAACAGAGATGGCAGAGATCTTATTGAAATAGAGCAATACACATCCATGCACAAAGTTGGGTGGTGTACGTTTGTAATAATTGCTTGGATGCGTCATCAATGTTAGGAAGAGAAGTATTTTCACATCCAGCATCCACGACTCGAATAACTTGATTCCATTCATTGAAAATTCTTGTGAAACGAGACCTTCCTCAACGGATTCCACAAGTACTGGAAAGAGAGAATCGCTGAACATTTTTACAGACGAAATTTTCCCTGATTTGTAATCAATATGAAGATCAACAAGTCCCCAATCAAATTTGGTTTCGATATTGTATGTAAAATCTGGTGTCGTACCATAATTCCATTCTGGATCGCTTAATTGTTTGTAAAAATCTTTCCATCCATTGTTACTTGCAAAAGAGCTATGATCAATGGCCTCTACTTCAACTTGGCGATCAAAATCATGCCTCTTACAAAATTCACGAATGATTGATGTATTAAGAGATTCGTGAGAAATGTTTGAAGAAATTGTTGTTAAATTGCAAACTCTACTTGCAACGCTAGCTACTCCCTTACTCAATAACTTTAGTTTGTGTGGAGTTAAATAATTTTGTAATGCGTTCACGTCAAGATTGAGTAACATGGTACCATGATGTACACAAACATCTTTTCCTTGCTTGAACGCAGATCCACTAATTTTTCTTTTGCACTCAGACAAAATTAAATCATTTCTTCCACTGAGTTCACTTTGAATGTTGAAACCATGTTTAAGTGCGTCCATCAAAATTTGAAAATTTAATTCTTTTGAATAATCTTCTTTTGGAGAAATAAAAGTAAAAATACTATTTCCCTATTAAAAGTGATAAAATCGAATGGTTCATTGAGAGTGGATCTATTTTATTATCTAGTCCTCAATTAATACTTACTAAATCTTGATAAACTGCTCCACCACCCGATCGTCGTCGAACTAGATTGACTCCATCTAGGTTCATCTTTGAAATATTACATTCTTTATAGGGATTTTGATGTTTTCCAATCACCACAGTCCTATCATTTCTCCACAAAAACAACGTTTCAACTTGTTTACTCGCCTCATCAACAAACAAATAATCTTCGGTGGCTAAATTGAAATAGGGATCGTTGGAATTTGAAACAATGATCCGAACAGGTTTTCTCTGAAGAGTGATGCACTGAGAAAACCATGCACTTGTTTCTGTACTGTAATGATGTTGGGGCAAGAAGGGGTAGGTTGATGATGGTTTTGTTGTTGCAAACAAAGAACAATTCCCAAACAACTTTTGAGAAGCGAGAGCTGTTTTTTTCATTTTTTTGATGTTGGTTTTGGGTTCGTGTTCAAAAGAGGTTTCCTTTGCAAGTGCAGGTAATGTTAGAGAGAGTGTGGTGCTTGGGACGAGTAGGAGAGTTTCTACTTGGCTTGCTGAAAATCATCTGGTTCGAAAGAGAATGTGAATTCGATTGGCACTTTGCAACATTCTAAAAAAAATCATACACCATCTCCAGCGATTGACGCTTCTTGTATTTTCAACGTGATCATCAAAGCCTTTTATTTGAAATCGTTGCAAGAGCAAAATGATTCACGATAATGACAACAACCAACCAAGAACAGGAACACCTTCATCAAAACGAAGGTCCTCCTCCTCTATTAGATTCAAATCACCCGTTTCCGAAACTTCTCCTCCGTCATGTTATTCCTCTGGGATGAGTAATAGTTCCAACAGCAGTTGCGATTTGGCTAATAGTGAAAGTGAAACTTCTTTAAATCAAATTGGAATATATTTGGCAAATTCAGGTTCAATCATTGAAAATAATGACTCTCTAGAACCCATTTTCAAGAGGTAGGATTTTTCTTGAATACACAAGTATCATAATTGCTTTAGAGGTATTGACGTGATTGATTTTGTCGCAAGGACTCTTAATGTTCATTCCGATGTGGTGTTAATCATTGATAGAAATGGAAAGAAACTGAAAAACGACTCCATGTGCTCGGAAATGGTAAGTTGTTGTGACAAGGATGATCACGACAAATTGTCTGAACAATTCGTCCATTTAATCATTCCTCATGGATTCAGTTTAAAAATAGTGATCAGTTATTTGTGTTTATCGCCAAGAATTGGTTAGATACAACTCTCAAAGAATGTATGGAAATCAAGGAGCAATCAAAAAAGAGTATCACCCATGATGAACAACGATTATTTCAAGATTTGTTAGATTGTTGCATGAAACAATACGACGCTATTCAAGCAATAGTGAAATATTTTAATTCCATGAAAGACAAGGCTCAAGAAATCACTGAGTCCATTAAGAAGAGAATTCCTGAACTAACGAAAATGAATCTCTCTAAATTGAAAAATATTTATGTGAATAACAATATTACAAATATGGGACACCCAAAATCACTTAACGAACATTTCAATAATGTACAAGAGCAAATGAAAACATTTATAGAAAAATTTAATCCAAGATTGGAAGAGTTGAATAAGATCTCTTTTGGCATTTCCTTGAACACAGACAAAATTGAAAATTTGTTTTTAGAAATGACTGCTACACGAGATGATCCTGACAAATGGATGAACTGTATCATAGAGCTGCGAAGTACATTGAACACTATACTAATGTCAGACGTTTATCAACAATTTTTGAATTTATCCAAACTGAGTCACACTCAGAGTATTTTATCCCATTTTTATCCTCGATTTAAGGTAAGTGCTGTGGTGATCATTATTGTTTACAAAAATTGGACTGATTTTTTTGACAAGGCGATGGACCATATGGATGATATTTATAATTTGACTCTTCTAGAATTGCATCAACGAAATTTATTTTGTGGAAGACTCCAAACAACCATTGATGAGCTGAATAAACTCATCAGACAGGAGAATGAAAGGAGGTCCTCATTCACAGCCATGATCAAAGATTTTGAAAAAACGCATGCTTATCGATATCTATGCTCTCTAGTTCCTCAACTGAGTCATCGTGTGCAAGAGATGGAACAACAATGTAATCAAACACCAGATATTGTACTCTCAGAGTCAGAATTCAATTCTACAATTATCAAATATAACACTCTCTATGAACAATATAGGATCAAGTACTCATCTCCAGAAATGGAGCAAATATCATACTATTCCATGCTCACTTTTAAAACGCTATCCTCGATTGAACAGATAAAATCAAGCAAAGATAACATTGACGAGAGCGAGAAAAAGAACTTTGAACAAGATTACTTGGAGAGCGTGACAGAAATTCAAAATCTAACCATGGAAGTAGATTCATTAAAATCTGAGATTGATCGTTTCAAACATGACAACTACAAACTAGAGTTGGAAATACGAAACAAACACAATTTGGAGATGGAAATTCAAAATCTACAAACAAAGATAACAAGCATAGAGAAAGAACAAAATTCTACACTCAAAGAGAATGAAACTTTAAGGTCCAGTATTTCAGATTATGAAACTCAGTTAAACATGTTACGAAAACAAATCTCAACAATGACAGAGAAGCAAACTTTAATGGAAGAGCAGTACGAATCACTCCAAAATGAACACAAACAGACCATTGAGAAATATCAACAAGTCCTACAAAAATCCGACAAATTACAGAACGACTATGAAGATGATACTGAACAATTGCGCAAACAAATTTCTGGGTTGCAAAAAGAAAATTCAATCCTGATAGAGAATGAATTGCAACTGAAAAAGAAAATCTCTGACTTGGAAAATGAAAATGTATGTCTCAAAGCGACACATGAAGAGCAAGAGAAACAACGACAATCCACAATTTCCTCACAAGACCAAGAAATTTCTGACCTTAAAAAGAAATTACATTCACTGGAAAATGAGAAACGTGAGATGATTCAGAATCACATGACCTCGTCGCAGATGGAAGAGTCTCAACGTAGTGAGCTTGAAAAAAAAGTTGAAACCTTGAACAAGAAATTAGAAAGAGCTCAAGGTAACATTAAAGACTTGACAGAATCACATGCAATGGAAATGGACTCTATACGCAAACAGTTAGAGGATTGTGAACGTTCTCGTCAAGAGATTGAATCAAGAAATGTTAAATTGGCTCTCGATTTTCACAATTTGGCTTCTGAAATTCAAACCAACAAGGAAGATCATTATTTGAGAGAGGCCAAAACGGTGAGCTATTTGAGCGTACTTGATACGTTGCTTGGAGAGTTAATGGCTTACCTGGTACATAATTATGATTTGTGTGAGAAGTTGCCAGATCTTGGAGCTAGAGCAGAAGACATTAAATATTTACATGACGAGCTGAGAGAAGTATTGAAAAACTTTAACACTGAAAGTGTTGACTTTAGCGTGGTGAGGAGAATTGAAGATGTCATTAGATTAATTGTCAAGGAGTTAGATCACCCAAACAAAACCAACAACAATCAACGACTGGTATAAAAAACAACGAGAAATACTGTGAAACAATAAGAAGCAAATGGTTTATTTGTTGTTACCGTTGTTTGCTCTTGGAGCGAAATAGGCGATCAAAATAATAATGATAATTGCAAGGATGATTGAAACGACCATGATAATGATAACAATGATGATAATTAAACGTTTTCTCATGCTCCACTTCAACTTTCTTCCTCCTCTTTGGAATCTATAAAGTGTGACAGGTCACATCACAAGGGAATGAACAAACTACTTACTCTTCACCTTGTTGAGCGAGTTCCTCTGTGGTTTCAATTAAACCATTCATAGTTTCTTGATTAGCCAAGATTTTATCAACGTTTTCTACCATGACATCACGAACTGTTTGAGAAGTAGAGTGATTCAAAAGTGTTAAGATTCTATTTCAAATGTATAACATACCCCTATCAATCTCGTTTTGTAACTTTTGAATTTTGTCATTATCGGGATTGTTGTAGAACTTTAGCTTTTCCTTCAAAAGACTTTTGTCCAAATTATTTTTCAATGTTTCATTTTCAACTTCATCGATCAAGTTCCAACAAACTCTTTGTTTGATTTCTTGGGTTGCGATACAAAAGTAATAATATCTTCCACTGTATTTTACATAAATATTGTTACTATGAAATGATGAATTATGTAAATTATGACAACATTGAAAGTAATTGGCATTGTTTGTGATCGTGTTGATGATTCAGTTTGACGCATCATTTCCAATCATCATAATTTTAGGTCGATAATAGCCCGATAGAGAACGAATACAATGAAGATTTGGTTGACACAAATTATTATTATGATTGGGTAACGATGAAATCCAAACACCATACAGGCATGTAATCAATACACAAAATATATCATCACAGTTGAAAGTAACAATAGACACATACTCATCATTGGTCAATACTCTCTTATGATTTGTTCTCTCCAACTTGGGTACAACTTTATCCATGAGAATCATTCTGAGTTTTTGCTGAGTTGGTGCTTCAGCAACAACATCGGCACCATCGGTAACGAGAAAATATTTGATAGGCATCGAGATTCAGTTTGTATTCGTTTTTTTCGAAAAGGAGACAACCGTTGGAGTATTTTTTTGGAATATGAACAGAGAGAATTGTTTTGGATATTGGTTGGAATGAACGTTGAGAATCAGGTGGTGGTATTCTCAATTATGAACAGTTTCTTTTGTTAGCTTTCATGGTGAGTGATTGAAGATGAATTAAAAGTCAACTTTAAAAAAAAAATGTTTCTTGCTGGACGAGGAAGAGGCAAGCCAATGAGCAGTTCATCATCATCCTCGGATGGTAAATCACACCAAGTTGATGGTAGTGCCGAAAAATCTTTTTCCGCGACAAACGATCATGCTGATGGAGAAATATCATCTCGGGATTCAACAACATCATCAAATGCTCCCACGTCGTATTCAGCAGTGATCATGGATGAATTTGGTAATTTGGTAGATGAAACTGGTAAAATCATTCAATCACGAAAAACTGTTGTAACAACAAAAATCAATCAAAGAAGACAAAAGGAAAAAAAAGAAAATGCATTGAAAATTGAAAAACCTCCAAGTATTAAAAAACAAGAAATTTATGACCCCTCTTTAGGATTACCATCTGCAGATCGGAAAAAACGAAAAAGAGGTCTTGAATTTCATGAAAAAGGAGAATTTATTGAAAAAGCAAGAATTATGAGAGAGTTAGAAGAAGAAGAGCGCCAAAAGGCTCTTCTTAAACAACAGTTAGAAGCAGAAAAAAAAGAACAAGATCGGATACAAAAAGAACAAGAAAGAGAGCGTCTCATACAAGAAGAAAAAGAAATTGGAGAGCTACATTTAATGTTAGGGTGTAGAAGAGTGGAAGACTATGAATCAACCATACCTGATGCTTTTTGGTGGGATAAAAGAATATTGAAAAGCTTTAAAAAAGGAGATGATTCGCGAGTAGATTCATCTATTGATCCCTATGAGAGAGATTATGACACAGAATCAAGTATATTTAAAATTAAGGAAAAAATGGTCAAACACAATTTTGTAGAACATCCTGTCATTGTTGAACCGCTCAAGAAAAAAGTCGAGATTGGCCCATTGCCTTTAATGTTAACTAAAAAGGAACAAAAGAAAATGCGAACACAGCAAAGAATTCAAAGAGAAAAAGAAAAGCAGAGAAAAATTAAATTAGGTCTGATTCCACCTCCTCCTCCCAAAGCGAACATGGGAAATTATATGAAAGCTCTTTTGGGTTCTGGAGAGGACCCTACTGAATTGGAAATGCGTATTAAGAGGGAAATTGCAGAGAGAGTAAAAGCACATGAGGAGAGAATGGAAGCTCAAAAACTTACAAAGGAGGAAAAACGTGAGAGAAAAATAAGGAAAATCAATGAAGATGCAGAATATGAATTGATTGTAGCTCTTTATTCAATACCAAACTTGGCACATCCTCAAACTAGGTTTAAAATTAACACAGCAAAAGAGAAGGGTGTTACAGGAGCAGTACTTTCATGTGCAAATCAGAACAATGACAAGAAAAGAATATTGTTGATTGCTGAGGGAGGAAAAAAAAGTCTCAAAGCTTATGACCATGTTTTATTGAATCGAATTGATTGGACCAAAAGGGAAACCTCTGAAGAGGAATCAAACATTGATAGGTCTGAACCTGACTCTGCTAAATTATTATGGAAAGGAACAATTCTCAAGCGTAATTTCCAATATTTTAAATTTCAACAATTTGAAACTGAGGAGTCAATCAAAAATTATCTCAAAGATCATGGATGCAGTCACTACTTTGACATTTTCCAAAATGATTTGAATAACGTTGCTGCAGTATTATAATTTACATGTTTAATTTTGTGTGAAGTTATCTCGATCTGTCTCTGAATACTCAGTTGTATCAATACTAAGAGATTCTAAAAATGTTGAGAGGTAAACACCTTTAGGAGCTGCATGCTTTTGGTCATCAAAAATTAGGTACAATAAAAAGTCTCCCTTCTCACTGCTACTGCAAGGAACTGTGGGCAAAACGTCAGCAGCAATAATTGTATCAGTTGCATCACCAATAAGAGCAATTTCGCTATTACGATCTTGAATAAAATCATAATGAGTCATGTCTTGTTCATCCATGACAAACAGTAAAAATTCTAATCCAAAGATTGCACTGGAGATAGTACTCTTGTCTGTGTGTTTCACATCATGTTCAACATAAATGTCATTCATTGTGAAAAGGTGTGCAAATACTTACATAAATGATTGTTCCACTGAATACAAGTGAATAACCTCAAAGACTCATCAAAACGTTCATACGTTCGATCTCCATAAATAAAAGGATGGTTTCTATTGTAAGTTGTTGGGAAAGTGCCACCTAATTTCTTCACATGTTCTACAATGTTTTTAGAAAAGTATTGCAAAGGCTCAAAAGGTAATTCAGAATGCTTTTGTGGTGGTAATTCTTCAACAAAGATTGGTTTCTTTTCCTTCTTTTTAGAGCTTGTCTCTTTGGTTCGCTTGGTTGACTTCTTGTTATATTTTTTTGTTTTCTTTTTGCTCGATTGATCTTCCACAACTTCTTGACTGAATAAATTCTCCTCTTCTGTAGTTTCGTTATCCTTGCTCTCGTCATCAAACATATCCACAACTTCAAATTTACTCTTTCCAGTGTTTAAATAAATAACTGGATTTTCCTCATCCGCCTCACTGTCAGATAATTCCTTCTGCTTTTTCTTTGTTTTGGTTTGTTTCGGAGACGATTTCGGCTTGGAGACGACTTCCGAAGATATCAAGTCCGAAAAATTGAGACTCAATTTTCGTTTTCTCTTTCCATGAATGATGTTGATCTCATCGACAACATCCCCCTTGACAGCAGTTCTCTTGGACCGATCGATGGGGGTGGTTCTTATCACTTTCGTCATGTTTTATTTTTTTCGAGTTTTTGACCGTTATTCAAATTTAAAAACACCACAAATTATTTCAGAGACTGCAACAAAAAATTGCATGAGCCTACTAGATCTACATTCTGTTACGATTTTTGATAACTCTACCCAATCATCATTAATTCCTTTCCAATCCCTGCTTGAGGATGGACTAGATTTATCATTCACATTCCGAGTGTTGCAAGATTTGAAACAAGTTTATTGGAATATTTATTATGTTGTAGATTTAGCCAACAGCAAACAAATTGTTCCTGTGGGGAAAAGTAATGTGTTTGATTATAGAGCATCATCAACTGAGTTTGAACAATTTAAATATTCCGTTCACAAACTTCCTCTTGAAAACATTCCAATGATCTTATTGAATAATGTAGGCTCACTTGTGGCCTCTCTTCGCAATAGCAATGATGGCTCGGAATTGTTTAAATGCTCCATAGTAGTGCAATCAGAAAGAAATGAGCGAGATGGAAAATTATATCGCAATATTCTGAATCCCATGGAGTAATTCGTTCACCATCAACGAATGATTTTAATTATTAAAAAAAATGTTGTTGAAAGGCAAGGAGTTTGATTCAATACCAATTCGCAATGATGAATATAGCATCAATGTATCATCATGGCCAACTAGATTTCATTGGATTTCGTCAAAACACCTATCAAGATTGCATTCTCTCATACTTCATTTATTTCCGAAGCTTGATACTTCAACACTTTCTACAAAATTTTCAAATAAGAAACATCAGTCTGCTACACTAAAAGAAGCATTTCGAGAAGTTAAAAGCATGGATCAATTAGAACACTTATTACACAAATATCGTAATATTCCATTAACCTCGCAGGACGTCAAAGAATACCGAATTGGCAAGCAACCATATTACATGGATCAAGATGGAGATTTTGCAAATGAGTTTTATGAGATGGTCATTGACAGAAAAACTGGAAATGAAATACTAGTACAGATTTTCCCATAATTTCTTCCATTCAATATCTGTACTTTTGTTTATCCAATTCATTCATTTCCTTTACAATTTTTCCTAATTCTAAAATACTTTTCACAGCATTGACAAAATGTA